CTGTATCTTGCATTTTCTTTTATTGCCTTATTGTTCTAGACTTCCAATAATATATTGAAGAGAAGCAGTGAGGGCAGGTATTAATGCCCCCTTCCTGATGTCAGAGGGAAACGTTCAGCCTTTCCTTTCCTTTTTTTTTTTTTTTTTTTTTTGAGGCAGTCTCTCACTTTGTTGTCCTCTGTACAGTGCTGTGGTGTCACAGCTCACAGCAACCTCTAGCTCTTGGGCGTAGGTGATTCACTTGCCTCAGCCTCCTGAGTAGATGGGACTACAGGCACCTGCCACAATGCCCGGCTGTTTTTTGGTTGCAGTTGTCATTCTTGTTTGGGCCTGGACTGGACTCAAACCCACCAGCTCTGGTGTATGTGGCTGGCGCCTTAGCCACTTGAGCTACAGGTGCCAAGCCACTATTTCTGTTTTATTGGACATTTTGTTTGGAAGACAACATTTTCATATTTAGTCGTTATTTAAAATAGATGTATTGAAGTTGAGAACTTTAAGGTTTCTTTAATTTTGTTTGGTGTGTATGATCTTATAAACACTGTCCAGATTTGAGCTTTATTTACATTTTGCCTTTTAGGTTCTTCAAGAACACGGAAAAGCCAACACCATGGTATCGTTAATGAAAGTTTATCAAGAGGAAGATGAAGCCTACCAGGAACTAGTTACTGTGGCAACCATATTCTTCCAGTATTTACTGCAGCCATTTCGGGATATGCGAGAAGTTGCAACTTTATGTAAGCTTGATATTTTGGTATGTTTTCTTTATATTGTTTTTATTTTATCAGATATATTTGTCATGTTATTTCTTTAGTCACATTTAAGATTCGATCTGTGCACTTTGTGTTCACTCTTGTTTAAATATTGAATTTATGTTTAAAGTTATTTTAAAAATAAAGACATTTATGTTGGTCACTATTGATACTTTAAGATTTCCACATATTTAAGGGTTAAGCACTTCTTCTGCTCATGAATTGTTTTTGATAGGATGTTTATTTCAGCTTGTTTTCTACCTTTAAGGGCACATGTATATTTCTTAGAGATGGTATGAAAATGTGAATAGCAGGAACCTGGACTGTAATTCTGCAGTTTAAACTTTTTTTTTTTGAGACGGAGCCTCAAGCTATCCCCCTGGGTAGAGTGCCATGGCATCACAGCTCATAGCAACCTCCAACTCCTGGGCTCAAGCAAGTCTCCTGCCTCAGCCTCCCAAGCAGCTGCTAACCACAGGCACCCACCACAACGCCTGGCCATTTTTTGGTTGCAGCCGTCATTGTTATTTGGCGGGCCCGGGCTGGGGATTCGAACCCGCCACCTTAGGTGTATGTGGCTGGCGCCTTAGCCGCTTGAGCCACAGGCGCCGAGCCTGCAGTTTAAACTTTAGTAAATGCTGTCATAGTTTCTATTTCATTGAGCGATTGAATGACCCTGTGACACTATTTAGAAAATATGTTATTATTATTCTAGTATTACAAATGAATCTTGAGCCCAGAGGAGTTAAATAACCTGCCTTGGGTCTCAGCAACTGGAATCAGAAGAACCAGAGTGATCTCTCTCTCTCTGCCCCTGCACTGAGCCACCTCTCCACACAGAGGCCATCTCTCAGGACCTCTGAGGGGTTGATGAAACTCATGTTACTCTAAAGTTGTCCTGTTCATTATTTTGATAGGCTCTTCTCTGGTAAGTCTTTATTTCTTGTACGTATTTTTTCTTTTATTTTTTAAGGAATACCTTTATTAAGATAACATTCACAGACTATACATTTAAAGTGTATAGTTCAGTGGTTTTTAATATATTTAGATTTGTACAAACATCATTACTATCTAATTCTAGGACATATTAACTCCCCGCTCAAAAAAAAAGAAACCCCATACCCATTAGCAGTCATTCCCCACTCCCCAGCCCTTCGCAGCTGCCGAACGGGTTTCTGTGTCTGTGGATTCCCCTCTTCTGGACGTTCATATAAGGGGAATCATTAGACATGTGGTCCTTGGTAACTGGCTCCATTTACTTAGCATGGTGTTTTCAGAGTCATCTGTGCTGTAACGTGTTAGGATGTCATTTTCTTTTACTGCTTGATAGGATTCATTGTACAGATAACACCACGTTTCGCTTATCCATTTATCAATTGATGGATATTTAGGTTGTTTGTACTTTTAGTTATTATGAGTAATGCTGCTATGAACATTTGTTTAGAAGTTCCTGTGTAGACATGTTTCCATTTCTTTTGTGTGTATATTGGAGAGTAGAACTGCCATGTCATGTGATAATTCAGTGTTTAACCTTTTGAAGGACTTCTAGACTGTTTTCCAAGGCAAGTGCACCATCATACTTTCCCTCAATAGTAAATGAGGTTCAACACTTGCTACTGTCTGTTTTTTTTGGTTCCAGCCATCCTGGTGTGTATGAAGTGGTATCTCATTGTGGTTTGGGTTTTTTATTTCCTTGAAGCTAACTTGTGCATGTTTCTTATGTTAATCATGCTTTGTAGAAGTAGCACTGGGTGCTGGATAACATGGCAGTATGTATCTTAGCTCAGGGTGTTACTTCGAACTACCACAGACTGAGAAGCTTATAAACGACACGAATTTTCTTCTCTGGGAAGTCCACAATCAGGATGCCAGCAGACATTGTGCCAGCTTCCTGATTTGTAGGTGACTGTCTTGTACCCTCCCATGGAGAGCAGAGAGAGAGAGACATCCTCTGTCCCCTTCTTTTTATAAGGGCATTAATCCCATTTATGACCTGATTACTTCTCAAAACCCCATCTCTAAATACCATCACTTTGGGGATTTAGGCTTCTACATAAGAGGGGGAGGTAATCATGAATGTACTGTCTTTTTAGATGACTGTATGACTCTTACTTTTCAGAAAAGAACCACAGTATTGCAAAGCTTCTTACCACATCTCTAAAGTAAACATTCTCAGTAACTGACACTGGAGTACCATGTGCCAGGCCCAGTGCCAAGTTCTTAACCACACAGATGTTATTTAAACAACTGTGTTTTACTATTATTAGAGAGAAACATAACTTGACAGCATTCCCCTCTAGAAAAAGTCACTGTAGTCATGCAGAGAGAAGGCTTTCCTCTTCCATCTGATACCCAGCTTAGGGCCTCATTTATGCTCAGTGAGGGATTGCTAAATGGACGAAAATTTAATTGACTAAACAGTAGTAACAAAAGTAATTAAAATGATCTATATGACCAATTTCCTTTCAGTGTCTTAACATTATTATCATTTCTGACTATAATAATAACATTATTATCATTTCTGACTCAGACAATTTTCCTTTCTTTTTGTAGAAGTCTTTGGATGAGGATAACCTGGGTCCAAGAAGGACAGTTGCCCTGCAGAAGGAAGCCAAAGAATGGGCCCGACGGGCTGAAGAGGCTGTCACCTCTATTCAAGATGTCACAGTGAATTATTTTAAGGAAACAGTAAAAGCATTAGCAGGTGATAAAAAGTGCCTAAATATAATTTTCATTTTATTTAAAAACTATTTGAGTGCCTCTTATATATCAGGTACTATGTTTTATAGGTGCTGCCAATTCAGTGTATAGATAAGCATAAGTAGACACTGTCCAGTCTGGTGAGGAGAGAAGAATCTTAATCATATATCTATATTCTTTTGAGCACATGGAAAATGGAAGTGGCAATGAATGACACAAAGAAGAGTAACATGGGCCTATGAGAGAGAATCTGGGCTCCATCAGGGTCCTCACTGAAGGCCTTTGAGAAGGGGTGTTTGTCCCAATACCTGAAGAGTAAATGGAGGTTGAAGGCGAAAGAAGTGAGGGTTGAAGGAATAGCATTTGCAAAAGTTCTCTGGCTTGAGGGAACTTGGCCAACATGAAGAACTTAAAACCCATGGGGCTGCATTGCAGAGAGGACACTGGCAGGACAGGCAGGGGTTAGACCCTGTAGGGACATGTGGCTGGGTGAAGGACATTTTCCCTAATCTTAAATCACTATTGATAACAGCCCCAAATAGGAAACAACTTAATGTCTGTCAGTCAGTTTAAGTTACCGGCCATTTGTAAAGCAGAATACTACATGGCTATCAAGCATAATTGTATCTTTTTTTTTTTTTTCTGTCTCCCTCGGTAGAGTGCTGTGGCGTCAGTGCTCACGACAACCTCAAACTCTTGGGCATAAGCAATTCTCTTGCCTCAGCCTCCCAAGTAGCTGGGACTACAGGCACCCACCACAACACCCGGCTATTTTTTGGTTATAGTTGTCATTATTGTTTAGCTGGCCTGGGCCGGGTTTAAACCTGCCACCCTTGGTGCATGTGGCTGGCACTGTAACCTCCGTGCTATGGGCATCGAGCCATGTTTTGTTTTTTTTTTAATGGAAAGAGTTTCTGATATATTAGGCAAAACAAGTTAGAGAGCAGAATGATGATCTTGGGTTTTTTTTGGTCAAACTATCCATAGTCTATTTCTCTAGCTAGACATAGAAAGACTCTAAAAGTATATGCACCAAAGTATAAGAAGCAGTGGCCTCAGGTGAGGTCATGATTTATCATCTTTTTAAAAATGGAGTGCCTAAAATTTTATTTCATGGCTATGTATTATTTTTGTAATAATAAATTACCAGGATAAAAAGTGGCTCAGTAAGTAGGGCACTGGCCCCATATATGAAGGGTGGCAGGTTTGTACCCGGCCCCGGCCAAACTGCAACAACAACAACAACAAAAAATAGACAGGCATTGTGGTGGATGCCTGTGGTCCCAGCTACTCAGGAGGCTGAGACAAGAGAATCAATCACTTGGGCCCAAGCGCTGGAGGTTTCTGTGAGCAGTGATGCTATGGCACTCTACTGAGGGTGACAAAATGAGGCTCTGTCTCTGTCTTAAAAAGAAAAAAAGATGTTTTACAGGTAATATGGGAGCACTAAACAAAGGGTTAGCCTCTGGTAAATTTTCCCCTTTTTAATGTTTTATTTTATTAATTATACTCCCAACAGGAATGCAGAAACAAATGGAGCAGGATGGGAAGAGGTTTGGCCAGGCTGCCTGGGCTGCAGCAATTCCTAGGTTGGAAAAGCTCAAACTGATGCTGGCTCAGGAAACTCTGCAGCTCATGAGAGCCAAAGAGTTGTGTTTATATCACAGAAGAGCTGAAATTCAGATAAAGGTAAGACAAAGACACCTGTAACTCTGTTTTAAAAACATACTTTTATTTTAGCTAGCATTCTTTCCAGGCATTGATAAGGAGCTCCTTTCTTCCCTTATTCCAAAAGCCATCTTCTTAGTAGATAAGAATTTACAGGGGCGGCACCTGTGGCTCAGGGGAGTAAGGCGCTGGCCCCATATGCCAGAGGTGGTGGGTTCAAACCCAGCCCCGGCCAACAACTGCAAAGAAAAACAAAAAGAATTTACAGACTGTGAAAAGTTGCCCATTAAGTTTCCTTTTCATCAAAATGTTGTAGGATTCAGATTCACTTTATAACAATACTGAGCTCAGCATTGAAGTGGTGAATATACTTTAAAATCATCCAGCAATGTTTTTAGTCCAGCTTTAGACCCATCAAAAGGTGCTTCTCCTTAGGGTCATAGTTACTTAAATTTCGCCTGTTCTCTTATTTTTAATCTTAAATTAGAAAACACTGTAAGTGGCTGGGTGTGGTGGCTTGTGCCTGTAATCTCAGGACCCTGAGAGGCTGAGACTGGTGGAACTCAGGATTTCAAGACCAGCCTGAGCAAACCCCAGACCCAATCTCTACTAAGAATAGATAAACTAGCGGGCGTTGTGGCACATGCCTGTAGTCCCAGCTACTTCAGAGGCTGAGGCAGGAGGATTGCTTAAGCCCTAGAGTTTGAGGTTGCTGTGAGCTACAATAATGCCCGGCACTCTGCCCAGGGCAACAGAATGAGCCTTTGTCTCAAAAAAGAAAAAAACCAGAAAAGAAAACCCTGTAAATGCCTGTTGTAGTCAGCTCACACTGCTATCACGAGATACCATAGATTAGGTGGCTTAAGTAGACATTTGTCTCACAGTTCTGGAGCTAGGAAGTCCAGGATCAGGGCTGCTGCAGATTCAGTGTTGAGTAGGGCTCTTTTCCTGGCTGTAGACAGTTGCCTTTTTACTGCGTGGTATGTGGTCTTTCTTTGGTGTGTGTGCACGAGAGAGGAAGAAGAGCCATCCCACTCTTACTCTTCTTGTGAAGCACTAATCCCATTACGAGGACACCACCCTCATGACATAATCCAAACCTAATTACCTCCAAAGGCCCCATCGCCGAATATTATCACATTAGGAGTTAGAGCTTTAAGGTAGGAATTTTGGGGAGGACACATTCAGCTCATAACAACACCTTATTGCCATTTGTTTTTTTCAAAACCTAATTTTCTTTTATGTTTCGAGGCTGAGATAAAGTATTTGTAATGAATGTGAAATGAGGCATTTTTGTCTTATTTAGAAAAGTGGAAAAGTGTTTCTTCCCTATTTGCTTTTTTTATATTTAGTAATGAACAAGAAATAGAAAATAGCTAGAATGCTTCTAAAGTTTGGTTTTTAATATGCTAATTGTTTTAATTTCTTCTTTTTTCCATGTGAACAAGATGGAAGATCTTCCAGAACAACAAAAAAATATAGGTTTTGTAGATGAATTGGAGATACAGTTTTATGAAATTCAATTAGAAATATTTGAGGTTAAATTTGAGATATTAAAAAATGAAGAAATACTGCTTCTTACACAGTTGGACTCTATTAAAAGGCTTATAAAAGGTAAAATTTAAGTGTATAGATTAAAATGTTTAAATTACACATCAGGAAATACCATATTATCCATTTCTCATTGTGAATTATCTATAACATCTACTGAAATTTCCTAAATAAGGTTTCCTTTCAGTATTTTTATTATTTAAATAATTTACACATTGTTAACACATAGCAAAACAAAAAAAGAAAAACTATTAGGGGTGCCAAAAAACTGTATACAAATTTTAAGAGATGTTATCCATATAGTACTTTTCAAAGTTGAAGTGAATTACAATAGCAATGTGTAGTGTGACATTTGGTCAAAAGATAGTGTTAATCAATTGAATGCTGGGGTCATCTTTGGACAGATAGGACAGTCAAAATAGTGAAAGCACAGTTGTCATTTGAGGAGTACAAGACCATTTTGAAGTGGTATTCGAAATTCCAGAATGTTGTAGAAGCACAGTGACAGTGGAGGTGTGAGTATGCAACAGAACCTCCAACATGCCTAAGAGTTGCACACATTTAAGGTAAATATAAAACGCATGATGTTTCTGCATGGTGTGACCTGCACAAGGGAAGGTCCAGAGGGCCTCACACAGCAACACGTCCTGCTGTTTCTGTTGTGGTGTTGAAAAGTTCACACTCTCCCCACAGTCTGCCAGAGAGTGTGCATGTGGGATGGGAGTCAGCAGGATATGCACATGATGCATTCTTAAAGTAGCAAAATTGAAAGTTTTCATCCCAAGATTATTACATTGAACTAGACAAGAATTCAAATTCTCTCACTGAATTCTCTTGAATTCAGTAAGAATTTGCTGGAATGATGGGGGTGAAGAGTTGCAGTTGAGTCTCCCCCACGCTCTCCTGACTTAACACCCCTTGACTTCTACCCACCTTAAAGGATGTGGTGAACTCTAGGAAACCAGCGAAGCTGGGAGTACTTTAAAAGAAATTGAAACAGCATGTGTAGTGATACAAGTGGATGCTTGGGTCAGCACTGCTCAAGCAGCAGTTCACCGTAATCAGAAGTGTCTGGGCTCAGCGCCTGTGGCTCAAGTGGCTAAGGTGCCAGCCATATACACCTAAGGTGGCGGGTTCGAATCCAGCCCGGGCCCACCAAACAACAGTGATGGCTGCAACCAAAAATAGCTGGGCATTATGGCGGCACTTGTGGTCCCAGCTACTTGGGAAGCGGAGGCAGGAGCCTCACTTGAGCCCAGGAGTTGGAGGTTGCTGTGAGCTGTGATGCCACAGCACTCTACCCAGGGGGACAGCTTGAGGCTCTGTCTCAAAAAAAAAAAAAAAAAGAAGTGTCTGGACACTGATGGTGATCATGTTGAGCCCTTCTTGTAATTGGAAAAGTCGGACATGACTTGTATTCATCTTTTGTTATCAGTATTTATTTAGTATTATAATTTTAATACAGTTTTTTCCTTTCTTAAAATGTGAATACATTTTTTTGGCACCCTCTGTATTATTACCCCGGTCCTATTATCTACAGATACTTAGCATTAACAATTTGCTGTATGACTTTGTAGCCTTTTTTATATGCTGATATAAATAAAGAAATATCAAATTTTTTCAGCTAAAACTACATTCTCTTCAATAAGCTATTTTTCATTTAGTACATAATAACCATCTTTCCATTTCAGTAAGTAATAAAAACATGGAAATTTTAATGGCTGCATAGTATTCCATTACATGGATATACCATGATTTTGATTTTTTTGCAGTTTGAACAGCAGTATAGTAGAGACCTTCCCTTTACACATGTCTTTGTGTAGAGGATGGATTATTTACTTGGAATAAATTTCTAAAGATGGAATTAATTGGGTCAAGGGAAATGTGTAGTTTACATTTTTGTATATCTCTATTAACACTACAATAATATATCTGAGATATGTTCTTTCCTCACCCTTCTATTTTCTGTTTTCTAAATTTGATACTACAGAGCAGCCCTCTAGATAGGCTGTGCAAAATGATGCTCCCATCTGCCAAGCATGAGTGTGTACGTCTCCCATACTAATGCCATTTAAATGAAAATTTTTGCTTACTAGATAGGAAAAAAATGACATCTGATTTTTATTTATTTAATTATAAGAGATACTGAACATGATTTTAAATGTTTACTGACTCTTTATATTTATTTTATGAACTGCCTATTCATGGTCTTGGCCCATCCTTCTTTAGAATATTTTTTTCTCCATATTAAGGATATTACTCTTTGTCTGGCATATTTTGTAAGCAATTTCTCCCTGTCATTTGCTTTTTCTTGTTTTGCAGAAGTATTTAATTTTTATGAAGTCACATTTATCAATCTTTTCCCTTCTGGTTTCTGCTTTTGGTGTTAAGCCTGGCAAAGTTCTCCTCCTTCCCAAATTATATCAATATATATTTACATTTTCTCTTAGCATTTTTATGATTTTCCTTTTCTAAAACTTTTATTTCATTTGTATTTATTTATTTTTTTGGGACAAAATCTCACTCTGTCTCCCTGGATAGTAATAAATAGCTCACAGCAACCTTGAGTCATCTTGGACTCAAGAGATCGTCTTGTTAGAGCCTCCCGAGTAGCTGCGATTATAGGCACCTGCCATAACACTAGGCTAGTTTTTCTATTTTAATAGAGATGCGCTCTCACTCTTGCTTTGTCTGGTCTTGAACTCCTGAGCTCAGGAAATCCACCTGCTTCCACCTCCTAGAGTGATAGGATTACAGGTGTGAATTGCACTTAGCCTTTTTTTTTTTTTTTTTTTTTTTGAGACAGAGCCTCAAGCTGTCCCCCTGGGTAGAGTGCTGTGGCATTACAGCTCACAGCAACCTCCAACTCCTGGGCTCAAGCGAGTCTCCTGCCTCCGCCTCCCAAGTAGCTGGGACCACAGGCGCCCGCCACAACGCCTGGCTATTTTTTGGTTGCAGCCGTCATTGTTGTTTTGGCGGGTCCGGGCTGGGGGTTCAAACCCGCCACCTTAGGTGTACGTGGCTGGCGCCTTAGCCGGTTGAGCTATAGGCGCCGAGCCTGCACTTAGCCTTTTAAAAAACTTTTATATTCTTTAATCTAGCTGAAATTCAATTTTGGTTTTGGTAAGAATCAAACATTCCTCCAAAAATTATTAAGGGTCTTAGGCACTGATTTTAAAAACATGTCTCCCTTCAACATTTCTAAAATAAACATTGGATTAACTTTGGTCTATTTCTGAGTTATTTTTCTCCCTTGATTTGTGACTTTTGCTGCTGGCTCCAGGATGTTCTTACTATACCAAGGAAGCACATTTCAGTGTCTCACATGGCACCCCATTCTGTTACTTCTCCACAAGTTTTCTTACTATTCTCACTCCTTTATTCTTCCAGATGAACTTTAGAATCAAGTTCAAAACAAACAAAAAACTCATGGGAACTTTGATTGGGATTGTACTTAAAATTAGAAATTACTTTGGGGAGAATTGTCGTCTTTGCAATTTTGAATCTTCCCACCCAAGAACATGGTATGTCTTTCCATTTAAATCTTTTTTTCCTAAAGTTCCTCCATATTTAGTAATTTTTTTCAGATAGATCCTGAACATTGAGTTTAATTTTTAATCCTAGATATTAAATTCTAGATATTTAATCCTAGATATTAAATTCTAGAATTTAATCCTAGATATTAAATTTCTTCAGATAGATCCTAAACATCTATTTAATTTTTAATCCTAGATATTAAAATTTTTTTGCAGTAGTTTCATGTTGTAAGCATTTTCCATATTTAGGAAAGAATTCTATTTAAAAAAAGTTAATCTGGAAGGATGCCCACCAAATTGTTCATAATGTGTTCCTCTGGGAATGGGATTCAGAAAGTTTAGGGAAGTAGAAAATGTCACTTTTTATTTTATATACTACTGTAGCGTTTGAATTTGTCACAATAAGCATATTTTAAAAAATCAATATGTAGTCAAGATCTTAATGTATCATTAAGCTACATTAATAAAATACTGCTGGTAGAATGTAAGCTGCTTTCTGGAGGGCACTTTGGCAATGGATATCAAAAGCTTGACTATTCATTTGCTAAGAAAGTAATAAGAAATGTATACAAAGATTTCTATAGAGAGATGTTTAACACAGTGAGATGTATAATAGAACATTGGAGCAGTCTCAAACAGGAATTGTTTAGCGAATACTATGTTGCCATTAAAATTGTATTTCCATCACATAGGAAATGTTCTCTAGATCTTCCTTGATATGTATAAGTAGTGTGTGTTTGTGTGTGTGTGTGTGTGTGTATATGTATTCTCTGTACACAGATGTTAACTGAGTGGTGGGATTACTAGTGACCTTTACTTTCTTTATGTTATAAAATATTGTGCATGATTTTATATAATAAAACATTTTTTAAAGAATCATTAATACATTTTTAGAGAAACAAGATGAAGTTGTCTATTATGACCCATGTGAAAGCCCAGAAGAACTCAAAGTCCTTGACTGTGCAGTGGGGCTGCAGGAAAAAAACCTGGAGGTGAAGGAGCTCAGCCGGCAGTGCCAGCAGCTAGAGTCGAAACGGGGCAGGATTTGCGCCAAAAGAGCCCATCTCCGGAACAGAAAGGTGGGGACACCCAGAGCCACTTTCTTTCCCTTCCTTTTCCAGGGATTTCTTCTTTTTTTGAAAGATAAAGAGATAATGAAAATAAAGTTTTACCAACATAGTGATTTAAGTTTTTGAATGCTTATGTACATATCAGTGGCTGCAGTTAAAATGTATTTAAAATGTTCTTCTTTAAAAGGTTATTTTTTTCTTTTGGGATTTAAGCATTTATCACATCTCAAAATTCATTCAACAACTATCTGTCGAATACCCATGGGATACACAGGTGCTTTTTAATCACAATAAGAAGAAACTCTATTTCTAAAATATTTTTCATTATAAATTATTGATTACCAAAAAAATCACGGATATAATATTCAACTCATTTCAGATCTTATATTTGGTGAATGATTTTTTCTTAATTTTTAAAAGTGCCATAAATCCATAAAAGGTAACACACTAAGAAATTTAATTATTTCTAACAGAAAAGAAAATACTTATACTTCATTTTTATCCAGACTTTAGACTGTTACTTTTATAGATTATAAAACATTTATTATCTTTTCATGCAAATACAAATGCTTTTAAATTTTATCCAGACTTTAGACTGTTACTTTTATAGATTATAAAACATTTATTATCTTTTCATGCAAATACAAATGCTTTTAAAAAAAAAACTCCATTAGAACAATACAGCCTTTGGCCAGGCACAGTGTCTCACACCTGTAGTCCTAGCACTCTGGGAGGCTGAGGCAGGTGGATTGCTTGAGCTCAGGAGTTCAAGACCAGCCTGAGCAAGAAGGAGACCCCCATCTCTTGAAAAAAAAAAACAAAAACAAACCCAGCTAGGTGTTGTGATAGGTGCCTGTAGTCCTAGCTACTTGGGAAGCTGAGACAAGAGAATCACTTGAGCCCAAGAGTTTGAGGTTGCTGTGAGCTATGATGCCATGGCACTCTACCATGGTTGACAGAGTGAGATTCTGTCTCAAAAAAAAGAGAATACAGCCTTTGCATATCTGTGTTCAACTATTATAGCTTCTGGATTTAGGAACTGTTCTTCAGGTGATTGGAAGACATACAGGTATTTGGCCTTTGCTCTACATTTCAGGAAACTTGCAGGCCCTGGTAGAAATCCCCTATGGCTGCAGTGGCCCTAAGGAGCTGTGGCGAGATGGAGGCATGTCATCATGTCTTCTCTTATCCAGACTTGAAGTAGTAACCTTCACCCTAGATAAAATCCCTCCCCTCTGGTCAGGGGAGCTGTTGCCACTTAGTTGTGGAAATACTGGAATTTGGAAGGCATTGGGTTAATAGAATAGTTGAGGTCAGGCTTTGGAATCTAACCTGGGTTCACACCACAGCTTGGCCACTTGGTAGCCATATGCTTGATGGTAAATTGAATCTCTTTTGAGATTCAATTTTCAGTCTCATGGCTGATATGAGGTTAAAATGCCGTAAGGCATGTGAAGTGCTCAGCATTGAGGTTAGGATGTAAAACATACTTAAAAATGTTAGTATTATCACTGTGTGATTTTCTATATATATTAAAGGTTTTATACTTATAACTCATATGTAGATATGAGTGATTAAACATAGGTAGAATCTATTATAGCTTTAACACAATTTTTTCAGATAGTTGTAGGTTGACTATTCTTTTGTAGTTAAGTTTGGAATTACCTATAATACCTTAGGGAAATGTGTTTAAAACAATCACTTTAAAACATATTGTTAAGATACTTTTCATTTAAGAATGGGGGCTGCCTGTATATTCTTTCTCAGTTGAACTACATTTTCCTCTCTCAAAGCACTGTCAGGAACAAATTATTCCTGTATCCAGCCAGTCACCATTTAGCACATGACTGTGGAGAGTGCGGTACCATTGAGCCACATCAGAACTGCTGCTCCTGAGTGCCTGTACCACAGCCCAGACCCAGTGCTTTTTTTCTTTTGACCTTTTATGCTATACCATGGTAATCTTTTTTTTTTGAGACGGAGCCTCAAGCTGTCCCCCTGGGTAGAGTGCCATGGCATCACGCTCACAGCAACCTCCAACTCCTGGGCTCAAGCGAGTCTCCTGCCTCAGCCTCCCAAGTAGCTGGGACTACAGGCGCCCGCCACAACGCCTGGCCATTTTTTGGTTGCAGCCGTCATTGTTGTTTGGTGGGCCCAGGCTGGGGATTCGAACCCGCCATCTTAGGTGTATGTGGCTGGCGCCTTAGCCGCTTGAGCCACAGGCGCCGAGCCTATACCATGGTAATCTTAAAAACCACATAGGTACTGTGTGTTACTCCCCCAGGATCGATGCAAAGAAAATCATCAGCTTAGATTGCAGCAGGCTGGAGAAAGCATAAGGCGATTTCATCAGCATCACAGTATTCAGATGGTAAGTTGCTGAAATAAAATGTTTTATATTTGCATGATATAATATTTGCATAATGTAATGTGACACCTGAACTTGTGGAAATTGGAGTTCCCTGCCCTGAACCTGCAGCTGTCAGTCTCCTTCAGTCCTACAGCATAGGTATAGACCGGGGCAGTGGGTCATGCTGCCTTACAGCCCTTTTCCTTGCTAAGACATATTTTGAGTATATGTTAAGACATGTTTTGTTGTGATATTGTGCAATTTACAAATACATGTTTGTTTAAATATAGAAAAGAGACAGGATAAAAGAAGAGGAACAAAAGAAAAAAGAATGGATAAATCAAGAACGCCAAAAAACACTCCAACGATTGAGAGCATTTAAAGAGGTATGTTCTAGGCTCGGCACCTGTGGCTCAAGTGGCTAAGGTGCCAGCCATGTACACTTAAGGTGGTGGGTTCGAATCCAGCCCGGGCCCACCTAACAACAATGACGGCTGCAACCAAAAAATAGCCAGGCATTGTGGCGGGTGCCTGTGGTCCCAGCTACTTGGAAGGCTGAGGCAGGAGACTCGCTTAAGCCCAGGAGTTGAAGGTTCCCTATGAGCTGTGATGCCATGGCACTCTACCCAGGGGGACAGCTTGAGGCTCTTTCCCCCCCAAAAAAATAAATAAATAAAGAGGTATGTTCTAGACAATAGCTTCACCTACGTCCTAGGAGTAAAGTATTGAGAGCAAATAATTCAGAACATGAAACATTTCATATATATCATTCTTCTTGGTTATCAATAGAAAACAAAATTAGAATTATCACTGTGTTTCAAAGACTATGATATAAAACTACTTCTGGTTTAACATGGCAACACGTTTGGACATCTTGCCCCTCCTCACTGGGTGGTGCTAACTGTGCCAACTGTGATTTTTTTTTTTTTTTTTTGAGACTGTCACTCTGTCACCTTTGTTAGAGTGCTGTGGCATCTTAGCGCACAGCAACCTCAAACTCTTGGTCTCAAGAGATCCTTTTGCCTTAGCCTTCAAAGTAGCTAGGACTATAGATGCTTGCCACAATGCATAGCTAGAGACCGGGTCTCACTCTTAGGTTGGTCTTAAACTTGTGACCTCAGGCAGTCCACCCGCCTTGGTCTCCCGGAGGGCTGTGATTACAGGCATGAGCCATAGCGCCCAGCCTCCACTATGGTTTAGAATGGCAGAGAAAACTGAAAATAGTCAACTTCCATTGACTCTGCCTGGCTTTTCTCCTTATTTGTAATAAAAAATTCTCTTTAAGATGGACTAGGAACAATGGCTAGTGCATAATACAAAGCAGCCCATAATCTTAGCACTTTGGGATGCTGAAACAGGAGAATCAGTTGAGGTTAGGAGTTTGAGACTAGCCTAGGCAACAGAGTGAAACCCTCTATAAAAATGTTAAAAAGCAGCTAGGTATGCTGGTGCCTTCCTATAGTCCTAGCAACTCAGGAGGCTGAGGCAGGAAGATTGTTTGAGCTTAGAAGTTTGATGCTACAGTGAGCTCTGATTTGCACCCCACTGTACTCCAGCCTGGGCAACACAGTGGGACTGAATCCCTAAGAAAAAGAAATTCTTTTTTTTTTTTT